TAGGGCCGGCGGCAGGTGGCGGGGGAGTGGCTGCGAGCAGGTATGTAGAGCGCAGAGACAGCTGGACAGGAGTGCGGGGCCCACGCCACTGTGCTGTGGCCAGTGTCAGGTGGGGCATGGGCTGGCAGGGGCTCTATGGAGCTGGGCAGGGCTGTGCCAGCAGGAAGAGGGTGGAGCCAGCCCAGTGCCATAGAGCCGTGCCGGCCTGGCTCCGCACTTCTGTCACCCTGCACTGGACCCCACCAGCGCTGGCCCCGGTGGACTGGTGTGGGCCCCGTGCTACCGACCAGCTGTTGCTATCCTCCATGGGCCAGCTCGCTGCCCCTTCTCCCTGCCTTCTGCAGCCATTTCCATGCTCTCTCCCTGCTTGCTGGCCACTCCAGTACCATGTGGTTCCTGGCTGCAGAGCCAGGACTGCAGCAGCTGGCCCAGTCCAGTCCTGCAGACTGGGACAATCAACCATGGTCTCCCCCCCCCCCCCCCCCCCCTTCCTTATCTGAATTTTTCTCTGGTGCAGGGAGGCAGGAACAGACCTAGGGTCCCAGGTCAGAAGCCTCTGCTAGGCATGGGCTTCTGGCTGGAGGTGGGGGAGGGGGGCCAGACCAGACTTGCTGCTGCGGCTGCTTAGTCCTGCTACCAGCTCCCCCTGGGTCCTACTGCCATTGCCTCCTGTCATGCTTGACAGGCAGGCAGCGGCAGATAAATATTAATTTTCTAAATTTTAGGGGCCCTGTGGGCCAGATAGGGGGCTGTATTTTTCCTGCCCCTGTCCCAGACTCATAGGTGGGGGAGGGGGGCCAGACCAGACTTGCTGCTGCGGCTGCTTAGTCCTGCTACCAGCTCCCCCTGGGTCCTACTGCCATTGCCTCCTGTCATGCTTGACAGGCAGGCAGCGGCAGATAAATATTAATTTTCTAAATTTTAGGGGCCCTGTGGGCCAGATAGGGGGCTGTATTTTTCCTGCCCCTGTCCCAGACTCATCCGTCTGAGGCTTCAGATACTCCCAAAGCCATAGCAGGCATCCTACATGCAAGCTCCAGACCTGGAGGCTTTGGAGTTCAGATGCCCTCTAGTTTTGCTTGCCCCTAGCCAAAAGGCATACCACAAGGATAGGTTAGTGCAGCCCATTTGAATCAGACATGTGGTAGTGCTTATTAAGTGCAGTCCCCCTCAGTGCTGTCTCTTTAAAGTTATGGTGAGCCACTCCATTTCATACATTTTTACTTCCTCTTCACTCCCACAGTTGAGCTGCACCTTTCTTTCCCCCTCCTAAAGAGTCCTGTTCCTTCACAGTAGGTATTAGGACATAGTTCTACATCAACATACACTTCAAAGTATTTCAGAATGTATTGCAGTTCTAATTATTTGTAACTATTAAGAACCTTTGCTTAAAGTTTGTATAAAATGTAATTACTAACTGAAATATATAGTGCTAACTTTGTTTCTTCTTGCTTTCAGGCACCTCATCTGTAGCTTGCAATCTGCAGGCAATGATGTAGGCTGCATTTGTATTTTAAAACATTGAACACTTCTTAGCCAAATAAAGCTTTTTTGTAGCATTCAATGCCTAACATTGCAGAAGATGAAAGGGAGAATAGTCCTGGAAATAATGAAAACAGACCTGGGGAAAAATCTCCAGAAATTACTCTTCATGATGCTGTGAAGCCATATTGCACTTCAGATACCTCTACTACATCCTTGGGTCCTAGCGGAGACGGGCATTATCAATGGGGATGTCCTGTGACACACACTCGAGAGAAATTTTATACCATCTGCTCAGACTTCGCTTTTTTAAACCGAGTAACATCTGCTTGTAAAAGCCCAAGTGCTACAGTTAGTGCCTGTCTACCAGATAGCGCTGCCTTAAATGTTGGAAATAGTACACCTGATTTTATCGGGATTCAAACTGGTGCTTCAGAGATAATCTACAACGAAGATGCTAATTTGGAAAGTTTGTCTAGTAGTCTTGGAAAACTTCCACTGGCCTGGGAAATTGATAAATCAGAGTTCAATGGAGTGACCCCAGGTCTGAAAAACAAAGAAGGTAATACATTACATTACTGCAAAATGTTTTTTAAAAAAATGCTTGTTGGATGAAATTCAATTAAAGAACGGAGGGGCCAAAGCCAATTCTGCTATTTACATCCTGCAGCGAGGTGTATAATGAGCTTGTGTGCCACTTGCATGCTGTAGAAGGGTTCTGTGTGGGGGATCAGATGCTGGCATTAAGGTCTCTGCAGATGGTTTCAAGATGAAAGATGATTTTTATTTTCCTTGACCCACCTGTGCATTTCTGTGCAGAACCCAGGAATCCAAACTTTATATACCAGTGATTTTATTCTTGAAGTATAGATTTTCAAGCTTTTGGGGAACAAAATGCAAGGTTTAAAATCTTTTTTATTTATAGTATCATAGAAAAGTAGGGCTGTAAGGGATCTTTAGAGGTCATCTAGTTCAACCCAGTGCCAGAGGCAGGACATTCTTATCCAAAATATCCTATAAACATTCATTGTATAAGTTACTAGTAAAACTACACCTTCAACCCTGATACAATCACAAGACATAACACCCTAACCTGCCACAGGTAAAGCAGGGGGATAGTAATGGCTTATGTCTTGCTGCTGTTAAAATATGATAGATTTGGGAAGCGGGCCCCCCCTGCTGCAACAGATGAAAGCAAAACCCCCCATAGTCTGTGTCAGTCTGATTATTCCTGACCTCGGGTATGAGGATTAGTATGACCCAGAGTGGAGGAGCAAGACTCTCCTCTGGACTGAAATCTCAGTGTTGACATCCTAGCAGATGCTTTGACCCACTCATTAAATTCCCCAGCCTTTGCTGCAGCCAATACCTAGTGTTTCTGAGGAAAGCGCAGAACAAAACTCTGACATGTTTAGCAGGGGGAGGGGCGGTGAAGAGTCCTTTCTGGCCCTGTGTGTTAACCAGCGAAGCCCACAAGTACTGGAAATACCCCTAGTAGAGCATAGGCCAAAGGTGGGCAATTACTTGGGCTGGAGAGCCACTTAAGTTTTGGTGACGTGATGAGGGTTGTGCATGTGGACATGCACTCTTGCACACTTACTCACTTGTGTACTTACTTGCACACATTCCTACATGAGCTCCCCACAGCTGGACCAAGGGTGGCGCCAGAGCAGCAGTGGGAGTGGAAGCGTGGACCTGTATGGGGCTGTAGCATCTTATCTCTGCTTCTCCCCCTGCCCCTCTTTGCGCTGCCTGTCTTGGCTGATGCTGGCAGGTAGGAACAGGGCTGAGAGCCATGCACCAAAGCCGGGGCCTGGTCTTCACAGCCCTGCAGAGTTGGGCTGCAAGGGATAGGGATGTTCCCACCTTTTGGCTTCTCTGCCCCCTGCCTACTGTGCAGACCCCAGCTGTTGGGGCCACAGTGGGGGTCTCAGTTTTCTCCGCTGTCTGCCAGGCAGGTGGGTAAGGCTCTTGCCTCTGCTAACCAGCCCTGCCTGCCCACCCAGCACCACAGGGTTGGACTCCATATTCCAGGCTTCCCCTCAGTGCCAGGTGGGTGGGTAAGGCTGCTTCTACCCACTGTCTCCCACCATAGCAGCAAAGGCCAGAGCTGGAGCTGCCTCCTGCGAGCCTGCCAGTTGATTCTGTTCGGCCTGTGGGCAGGTGGCAGCTCCAGCCTCCGCTGGTGCTGCAGACCAGATAGAATCAATTATCAGCCTGGATATGGCTTATGACTCATGAGCCACATTTTTCCCACCCCTGGTGTAGGAATAGCTATTCCAAAATCATCCCTGACCAGTACTTGTCCAGCCAGTGACTGACAGTCCAGCCAGTGACTGACAGTCCAGTTTGCCTAGGCAGTCTGTTCCATTCCCTCTCTGTTCTAACAGTGAAGAACATTTTTTTTTCTAGTACCAAATCTAAATCTACTTTGCTGCAACTTCAAGCCATTGGTCCATGTCCTACTCTGCAGCAAGAGAGCAGGTGTTTTCCCTCCTTATGGCAGCCTTTTCATAGTTGAAGTCTGCTACCTCATTCCCTCTTTTTAGCACCTTTTCTGCAAGCTAAACTTGTTTGTTTCCTTCAAACTCTCCCTGTATGATTTGACTTCCAAGCCTCTATCATAATTTTTGTCTCATGCCCCTGGAGCCTCACTAACTTTTTCCATGTCCTTTCTAAAATGTGGAGCCTTGAACTGTGCACACTACTTCTAATGAGGCTTGACCAGTGTTGAGTAGAGAGGCACTATTACCTTGTCTTGCACCTAATCGATGCATCTACATGTGTACTTTATTGCGGAGCTGACTAATTAGCTCTGCATTAAAGAGTCGCTGTCTACACATACACCCATATTGGGGCATAGTAAATAAATTAATTCTGCTATAGGATAGTATCTGTCCTGGACCGTACTATCTTATGGCAGGGTCATTTAATGTGCCAAAACACTTGTGTAGACAGTGACCAAGGCTGGCTAGGGCATGAGGGTGCCACAGTGCAGGGGCTGCCTGCTGACTAACCCTGCACTGTAGAGTGCTCCTGCCCCAGCTTGCCCCTCTGCTGCCTACTGGAGGCTGGGGCTGACCCCTCAGCCCACCTGTCAACTCAGGGCTGCTCTCCCTCGGCTCAAGCAGCTGCGGTCCTGGGCACACCTAAAGACGCTGTGCCTAGAAGCAGCTGACTGTCACAAACTGTGACAGAGTTTATTGTTATGTACTAATTGCATGTCTAGATGCACCCAGTGATTCAGCCCAAAACTGCATTAATTTGTATTGAGTCTGTGATCCACCAAGACTCCTAGACCCTTCCTCTGTAGTTTTGCCTTCCAGCCAGGTGTCAACCATTTTTGTGTTTTGATTATTTTTTCCAAGGTGGAACATCTTGCATTTGTCACTATTACACTTAATTCTGTTACTTCAGCCCAGCTTTCCAATTGGTCACCACTCTGAATTGCATTCCTGTCCTCTAACTGTTCACAATCCTTGCCAATTTAATGTCATCTGAAATTTTGCTCAAGAAGCTCTCAATTTTATCATCCAAATCATTAATAAACATTCTGAACAGCACTGGACCCAGGATGGACCCCTGTGTGCGTCCACTTGAAACCTCCTGTCACTCTGGTATGGATCCATTTATAAACTTCATAAATTACCCTTTGCTTGAGGCTTTTGAGCTAGTTATCTATTCACCTTTATGGTAGTTTTGCCTAGTCCACAGTTCTCCAGTTTGCATTTGAGAAGATCATGTGGGACTTGCTCAAAAGCCTTTTTGAAGTCCAGATATGCTATATCCACTGCTTTTCTTTCATAAAGCCAAGCAGTTTGTTGAAGAAAGATCAAGTTTGTTTGGCTTGATTTGTTCTTGATTAATCCACACTGACTGCTTGTGATCAGCCTTTCTTCTTCCAGATGCATGCAAACAGACTTGCGTATAATATGCTTCAGTAACTTCCTGGGTATCGAGCTGAGGCTAACTGGTCATAGTTCCCTGGGTCCTATTTTTCCCCCCATTTTTCAAGAGGAGCACTGTGTTTGCTCTCTTCCAGTTTCTGGTACCTCACCTGTCTCCCACAACTTTGTAAATATCGCCAAGAGTTGCATAATCCAGACTGTGTTTCTGTGCATCAGGGAGATGTACATGTTTTTATTATTTATACTTTATTGATTCTACTTTCTTGGTGCTTTTAAATGTAGATTTCAGTCGTATGTTAGCTCTAAATGGATTTATTTTTCAAAGGGGAAAAATTGCTAGTCTTCATTTTTAATTTGATGTATCTACCCTGGTAAAACTGCTGAATAGCTCCTGTGGGAATACGGGCAAGAAGAAAATGAAATTTTGTAATACAATTATGCTTTGAGGATGTCAAAATTTCCCTGAAGAAACTGCATATATTTTTAATTGTCTTAAATGGTTAGGGAATCTGTTTTTGAATGATTAGGGAAATTGTCTTTCTTAGGTCTGTGGACATATCTAGACCATAAACTTACTATGGCAGGAAGCAGCATCTTTTTTTCCTGGAAGAGAGTGTATAGAGGTTTCTGGCTCTTCTGCAAGAACATTAAGTCACCCAACCAAGAACATCTCTCTTCTCGCACACTAATTGATTGTTGTATGCTTCTCTTGGGTGGTAAGGACCAACAATATCTCACAGTGCCCTCTAAGAGGGAAAAAGAGAGAGCATTGGCTTCAATAGTCTGGCCAGGGGCAAGCTGTCAGCCCTGTGGGGACTCCTCTGTGGATCTCTCCAGCCCCTGAAGAGATCTGGATTACCCCAGGTCTTTGCAAGGAAGGGACATTGCCCCCAGGCTGGGAGCATTCCTCTACAAAGATTCAAGGTGCATCTGCCTCCTTTCTCCTGCAGGACTGAGGACCTGAACTCTATTGCCTCTGTCTCCTGCCCCATGCACCCCTCCAAGGTGACCAAGAGGGGTGCATGGAATGGGGACCATTCTCCCATGGGTAAAACCATCCCAGGTTTACTGAAAAGTGTGGGGTGATTGAGATCTGATTCCAGATCTTAGAATTGTGTGCCTGTCATTCATGTGTGGTATGGCAGGAGGTGTAGATTGGAGATTAGATGCCATTACGCCTTTAAATGAACTTCTGACTATGTCAGCGATCATCATTACTGCACACAGTATTGTCTTTGTTAAGGCTACTTCTAACACTTTTTTTCCAGGCAGTATGAAGAAACAAGTAACCAAAAAAAAATCCTCAGACAAAAAGAGCAAGCAAAACAAGGAGTGTTCTCACTATTCTACGTTTGAGGAAGTAAAGCAGCGGAAAGTGCTAGACCTCAGGAGATGGTAGTATTTTTATTTTTTTTTAAAGCATTAATCTAGTACCCAGTTTGTTAGTAAATGTTGATGGTCCTCCTCTTTTAAATCTTACTGTATACTTTTTATGTCGAGTGGAAATGTATTGAGATGCATTTAACATATCAAAGGCAACGAACTAACCAAAATACTTTCTGCATGAGGATGTTGGATATTTCCCTTGTGATCAAGATACTTTCTCTATATTAAGACATTCCTACTTAAACAACTTTGTGGGTGAATTTGGTACTATTAAATAAAACCACTAGTGTGTCCAGACATTGACTAGCCTTGTTTCTGCATACCAGTACCATTTATCCTTACTTTTTATGTTTCTTTTCTATTTTGGGGGCCATTTGAGTAAAATTTATCACTTGCATAAAAATGTGAGTGAACTTTCTACGAACCTGAAGTTAAATTGACATAAAGCCGCTGAACTAATAACACCTTAACTGGTTCTGTGACATGCTTAATATAAAGAAACTGACCTGAAATCATCTTTATTGGTAAAATACCAAAAATGCAATTTAGTAAGGATAGCAATATTGGAAGTATTGATCCAGAGACTGACCGTCTTAAGGCCTTGTTATACTAGGACAAAAAAAATCCTTATCAGGTCATTAATATATATCTACCCAGACTTTCTTATAGCTTGATGATGTGTAGTCTTTGTAAGGTAGGATGTAGTCCTGGTGCAGATGTAAATGAAAGCAAGACTGGACTTGCTTATGCCAGGTTTTTTAAAAATTCATGCAAGGATGATACTGTTTTTAAAGTGAAAAACATGTCTTACAGCCCTTGACACTTGGATAAGTGATCTCAAATGAAAGTGCAGCCAGATGCAGATCTTTAAATAAAGAAGGTTTACTGTCTCCTTAGGTACTGTATTAGCCGACCACAGTACAAGACTTCTTGTGGAATTTCGTCTTTAGTATCTTGCTGGAATTTCTTATACAGCACACTGGGAGCTGGAAAGTAAGCCACCTTTATTCTGTTTATGTATCAAGGAATATAAATGATTATCTCAGTACTTTTAAGCATAATTCATTATCATTTCCTTTTTCAGCCTGCCACCTATTACTCAAGAAGAGGCTTTGCATATATTGGGCTTTCAACCTCCGTTTGAGGAGATTCGATTTGGTCCCTTTACTGGAAATACAACTTTAATGAGGTAACATTTTATATTTTTTGAAGCACTGATGCATGGAAAAATAGCTTTCTAAAACTAAACATTTAGAACTTTACTTCTCAAATGGCAATAATGTCCTCGTAAATAAGATAGACTATAAACCCTGCAATGATTTAGGTAGCTGAGGCTTCTGAGTTCTTCATGATCAATCTGTAGGGGTTTTGGCAATAGAACCCAGAGTTTGGTTTTTTGTTTGTTTGTTTGTTTGTTTTTTTTCAATAACTTTTTAAAAAAGATATTTTTGTTCTAACATTTGTGTATAGTACCAAATTGCTAGCATTAGTCATTGGGGATTAAAGTTCTGTTTTCCTTCACAGTCAGGTAAGATTTCCTGCAGAATTATATAAAAATGGAGCTGGAAGGGGCCTCAGGAAGCCATTGACTGGAAGTTGGACTCAAGGCAGAATCATTCTTATCTAAATCATCCTCTATACATGTTTATCTAATCTTTTCTTAAAACTGAATGAACAACTCTCATAACTACTAGGCACAGTGCCCTAGAAATTTAAACAAGCTAATTTGCCACAGGTAAAGGAGGTTGGTGAAGTCACTGTCAGTGTCCTGCCACTCCAAGGACACGAAGTAGTTTGTTACTTTTCCAATGTGTGCAAATAGTAACCTGCTGGGAAACATTTTTATTATCAGAGGTTCACCTTTCTTGAAGGAGGCACACCAGCCTTCGTTTTATTTGCCAAGTCCATTCACTAAAAAAAGTAAAAAAAGGTCTTGGATGCTATGATAGGTCTATGTACAGACTTGCTGAGGAATGGAACGAGATCTTGCATGACAATTTTCTGGTTATCGCATAGCAAATTCATGAAATTTTTGAGGTAGGGCCACAAAAGAACTCAAGCACCAAAGTGGCACCTCCCCACATGCTAGACACATTACTCCAAAATAGTAATCTTTAAAACCATTGCTCAGATACTTTCTAACTCTGTAGCTACCTCAGTTTTTGCAGTTTAAGGCAACAGAAATTTAGGCATGTTTAGAGCACTCATCCCAATATAGGGTACTTGCCTACATCTTCTACCTTCTGTGAATAGCATAACTGCCTGGTGATAGGCTCCTTTTCCAAGGACTATTTCTGTATTTTATCCAATAGTAGTTTAATATAAGGATGTGACTATCCTTGGAACAGAGATTGGAACCCAGGGCTTTTCTCACATGCCCTAACTTGTAGACTAAAGAGTCATGTTCATGCTTGGAGTCTCTCTTTTGCCCAGCAAATCATTAACTATTGTTTGAAACCGTCCTATTTTGCATACAGGGGATGGTAAGAGCCAACCTGGGCAAAGAAAGAAAGCCTGAATCTTGGTGGTCAGGACCCTGTCCTGGGAGACAGTTGGCTTTGTTAAATGTAGGCCTTCAACATCTTGGTTGAGTGCCATTGCTACTGGGCTGCTGTATCAGTTGTATGCTACTGTTGCTGGAAAAATTTCAGCCACTGAACTTTAGCATTCAGAGGCAAAACGCATTTCCCTGAAGCCCAGAGAAAGATACTTAAGCCTGAGGAGGGGCTTAGATTTGAGACCAAATCCTGTCTGCAGAATTTTGTATTGCTGTTTTAGGTGGCTTCCTAATCTATGGGTTCTGAATTGCTGTTCTAAAATGTCTTGGGTTTGTGGATACTGCTACAAGGGTCAGACATCCAAAGTTAGATGCAATGGTATTGAATGCTGCAGTGCCCATGTCCCATTGTAGATTTAGTTGTTTGTTCATTATGTTGTTGATCAGAATAAGCAAGATAAAGGTGAAAATGCTCCAATGTGAGGAATTATTGTTTATTTGTAGTAGGATAGCACAACATCCCTGAGATCAATGACCCTTATACTAGGTACGTTATAAACACCTAGGCTGCTTGCCATGTTAAAAAAGAAACCAAAAAAATGTGCTTTACTAGAAAAAGCAGCATGTTGCTTTGACCTGGCTCTGCAGCATCTATATAGATCAGGCGCTTCAGCAGGGCTTTTTGGCACTTTTATCTAAAAGCTGATTGAATCAGCTTTTAGATAAAAGCCCCACTAAAGCACCCAATCTTTACAGACGTTGCAGGAGCCACGTCCACCTAAGGCACCGCCTCTTTTGGGCATACATGGGGCTTGGCATGGGAATGGGTTAAGCTAAAGTGTTGTTTTGGTTTTTTTTAATGTTTGTAAGCAGCCCTAAAGAACTGGTCTTGTTCCAAAGAGCTTACATCTAAATTGCCAAGAGTGAAAAAGGTGGAAGATGGTATGCTATAAATATTGATAAGAAACAGTAAATATTGAAGCAGATTAGTTATTTAGTTATTGAAATCCATAAAATATTTTTTTTTTCAGATGGTTTAGACAAATTAATGATCACTTCCATATAAAAGGATATTCCTATGTTCTATATAAACCTCATGGGAAAAACAAGACAGCTGGAGAAACGGGTAAGTAAGCAATCCTAAAAACACTATTTTTACAATCTATAAATAAGGAAGACTTAGAGCTGTAAAATGCAGTAGAACAGGAAGTGCAGAAGAACAACTTAATTCTATAAGTGAACTCTCAACCTACAATACAGGAATACTACCAAATGAGTCTGAACTACATACATTTTTCTTTTTCCTGCGTGTCTTAAAGGTTCTTTCTCTTCTTTACCAAAATAACTTACTTCAAGTTATGGTTATGAAAAAGCAGTGTTCCAAAGGTACATAGAGACCTTTGGCTTTCCATTTTATCTAATCCGTAAGATGTATATTTATTGTAACACCGTGTTCTGCTCTGGTATATTTCAGCATTTCGGTATTCTTTCTGCAAAAGTTGTAATTCTGAAATTACAACTTAAAAATAATAAATGAATGCATTTGTTAGATATTTGGTCCCCCCTAAAATATTTTTCTAGTCTTGAGATCAAATTAAGCAATTTTCTCGCTAGAAATTGATCATTCAGTGCTTGTTACATGAACGAGGTCTTACATTTGAAAGCTTTTCTAACTCCAACCCTACTATGCTATTGGGTTAATATTAATCTATTCAGTAAAAAGATGCCCTTAGAAATCCTTGCTTCAAGCATAATTTCTGGACCATCACAGCTGCATCACTTTAGCACTATCATAGTTAGTGCTTGAAATACTTTCAGTATATGCATCATACCTATTTAGTAACTTGGTGAATTTATACTTCAGTAATTATCAACTTCCTAACCCTCAAACAAATTGTTGAGTTGAAAGCTTGAACTTTATTTATCTTAGGAATTCTGACCAAATGACATGGCTGTAGTTTTACTGTCAATTCTGTCCTGAATGATTTCCTGGATCATAAGGATATCAACCTTATGGTATTTTTTTTTTAAAGATGTTTTGATTAGTTCTGTCAGTTGTTATTTGTAAGGTAAATTATTTGTATCTGACTTCTCATTCAAATGATACACATTTCAGTTATGCACTGAGATACATATTTCTAGAGATACACATTTAGTGTTTTAGGTTATCATTGATGTATGGGATAGAATCAGAAAGGCACAAATCAGCAATTACATGTTCATATTGCAGACTTTTACCATACAATATGCTGCTGCTTATGTGATGTAAAAATTAAAAAAGGCTGGCAGTTAAGTTCTCATCTGCTTAACACTGAATGCAAGAACAAAAACACTTTGGATGATCAGATTTTTCTTTGTAGCCTCAGGGGCCTTGGCAAAGTTAACATATGGATTGAAAGAAGAATCGATGGCCTACATCTATCATTGCCAAAATCATTATTTTTGTCCTATTGGATTTGAAGCCACCCCGGTAAAAGCTAGTAAAGCATACAGGTAAGAATTTGGTAATTATGTTTGCTGAGAATCATCTACCAAAATGTTAATTGTAAGGTAATATCACTTTCTTAAATTGCATTTCAGTGTGCTTTGGAAATGGTAAGCTAACAAGTGTTAATACCTTGATTGCATTTATGTTCACTCAAAAAAGTACCCAAACCAGTAAATGTCAGTTGTATTCACTTGAGCCAAAGTGCATGTAGAAATATGTACTGAGACAAATCATTTGAGAGAATTTAAACAGAAACATGCAAGAATATTTTGGAACTATGTAGAAACACTTTATGGATGCATCCCCACGAGCAGGCATGTGCATTTCTCTGTGGACAACTAGCCTTAGCTCATATCTGGTTTATGGTGGGGTAGGGGAGGCTGGAGCCAGCGCCTGGATTGGCTCCAGCAGCTTTACCTGGGGTTTTGGGGGGCCTCCCAGGGCTGCAGCGGCGGTGATCCAGGCACGCACAGCATGGCTCTGGCTGGCCAGGCTCCAGTTTCAGGCAGCACGTGCTGTAGCCATGTGCACTTTGCCGAGTATGTTTTTCCGTGGATCTCCCAGTGTCAAAAAACTGCCATACTGTAAATTGGCAACACAGCAAACGTGAGCATGTGCGACATGTGCAGTTTGCAGCACCACAGACAGGTTTGTGGTACCACAAACTGCACTTTCATACTCGTGGGGATTCACCCTATATGTCCCAAAACCCTAAATCTAGAAAGTGGGGGGGAGGGAGTGGGCATGACTAGTGGGGAGCAGTGATTTAAAACAAGCAGAAGACAGGGGAGTTGATAGTAATAAACAGGGATCCTGGTTTTCTCTGATTTAAAAAAAAAATCCTAACTTTTTTGATTAAAAAAAAGTAACCCAAAATCCACATTTTTCTGTGACTGATTAAAATGAAACGCCATATAGTGGTGTTTCAAGCTTTCAACTCAACCATATAGTGATTTCATTTTAATCAGGGAAAATTGTGGATTTGGGGTTACTTTTTTTAAATCCAAAAATTGGGGATTTTTTTATCGGAGAAAACCAGGATCCCTGGTAATAAGTACCGATTTTCTGATTGGTAAGAAAAGTGAAAGGGCACAAAGAAAAATTATACTCCCAGTGAAGTGAAGAAAAATAAAGAAATGTTTTGGTATACTAGGCACAGAATGGTAGCAGTCCATTACAAAAAGAACTAAAAATATTACTAAAGAAATTATTGATAATAGAAAGGTGTATTGAATATATTTGTTCTGTAATTTAGAGGAAGCTGCATAATATAACTGCATCGCAGGATGGTCTTTTCCAATAGTAATTCAAGAATATAAATGGCTGCTAAAGCTAGGCTTTTTTACTTCAGCAAGTTTTGAATAACTTGCGCCTAGGAATTCTAAATGAGCTGCCTGAGGAGCTTTTATGTGTAGTTAATTTAGACTTTTTAGCAACTGTTAGAACACTGCATAAATTTCAAACAGCTAATGTGCTACTATTAAAAAGGATAAACAAAACACTGGAAAACATAATGGAAGTGCCAAAACAGCTAATTACAAGATCTGTTTTCTAGTTTGGCATTAATTATGTTATCCTCCTAACATCAAAAAAGACACAGTTGGACAAGTCTGGCATGTGGTTTCAGTTTCTCTAAGTTAGTGGTTCTCAGCCTGTTTAGAGTCAATCTACCCCTCCTAAGATTTTTCAGAATTTAGTGGCACCCTATTTAAGGAAATGATTTTATATCTGTTATAGATATTATAAATGTTAACATTCTATTATTAGTGAATATGTTATTAATATTGAGTGGTGGGGCTATAAGGGATAGACTGGGGACATCTGGCCAGCAGGGACAGGGTTCTGGTCTGCATACTTCCACATGGGCAGTGCTGTAGGGATGGGAGGGGCCCTGGTAGGCAAAAAGATGCATGAGGCCTTGGAGAGGGGAGGAGGGCTGGCCAGTGGAGTACTGGAGCGCAGTGGCTGCTGCTGCGGCCAGGTGGGACTGCACTGAGCCTTCTGCAGAGCTGGATCGGGAAGCAGCTGTGGCAGGAGCACATATTTTTGCCACAGCCCTTTTTGGTGTCTCCTGGAAACGTATGTCTGCGGGGCAGAGGGAAATGTCCTATGTGCCTCTGTTTCCAGGTGACGTGGGATTCTAACTGAGAAGCAGCTGCAGTAGAAAGGTGCATGCACTACTTATATTAAATTAGGCAGGTGCACTGTTTCTGTTGCAGCCCTTCTTGTTTTGGCTCTGCATGTGGTATCACAGCTTGGAGCTCACTGCTGCTGATGCTGCTTGGTAGAACTGTTCTGGACATCTCCAGGAGGCACGCCTGAGCTGAACCGGGAGTAGCTGAAGCAGAAAGGGTATGCCTGCCAACATAATTTAATATAGGCTGGTATGCTTTTCTGCTGCAGGCACAGTTTATCTCGTATGTACTTCCTGAAAACAGAAGCAGGCAGGGCAGTTTCATCCTGTGGTGGTGCTGGTGCTGTAGCACCCCTGGCAGGTACTTGTAGAGTCCCAGTTGAGAACCAGTGCTCTAAGGGATTTGGCTTCTTATTGTGCAGTATTTCAATTTGGGACTAGTTCATGGTATGTGTTAAATGGATGAAGCTGGTTGGCAGGCCTTAATGTAACTGAAGATCAATATCAGGTGGGTGGCTTTTTATTTCTTGGGTTTTTCGGGTGCTGGTTCTTGGCTCAGTGGTATTTAACAAGTTTTTTTTTTATCAATGATCTGGAAGAAAGAAAAATCATTGCTGATGTAGTTTGCAGCTGTCACTTCCCCCTTAACTTTGTATTAAGTAAAGAATGCTAGGCCACTTGCTGCAGTCCAGATTGCTTAAACTGCCAAGCAAACCATATATTTGGTAGTATTAAAATGCAAAGCCCTGCATCTAAGGGCAAAGAACATATGCCATGCTCGGAGGATTGAGAACTCTGAAAAGAACTCGAGCGGGGGGGTAATAGTTGATAATTGACTGAACGTGAGTTTTCTCATATGACCAAAATTGCTGTTGAAATCCTGGGTTATATAAACAAATGAATGTGGCATAGGGTGGTTATATGTTAATTTCTGTTGTTAGTGTGACTTCTAGTGGAATATGGTCTCCTTTTTGGTGTCAGTGCCTTTCTTGATAAATTGGATAGGACTTAGAGAAATGCCACCCAAGTTTAAAGGTTTGAAGAAAGTGCTTTATATATTTAAATTCAGATAGCTCAACCAATCCACTTAGATCAAAGAAATGGTTAAAGAATGACCTGTTCATTATCTATACATACCTTGCAAGGGCAAAAAAAATTGTTGATTATTGGGTCTTCAGTCTAATAGACTAAAGTATACTATGACTGAATGGTTGGAAGCAAGATAAACCCATTGAAAAGTAAGGCATATATTTTTAAAAGGAAGGGGAAATCAACTTTTGGCACAACATAACAAGATGTGAGGTAGACTTTTCAATCACTGCCATTTTTTAAATTAAGATTGATAGCTTTTTCCTTAAAACAGTTTAATTTGAGGAAGTCCCTTGACTTCCATGCTAGACTAGAGGTCAGACTAGGTGACCATTCTGGTCTCTACTGACCTTATCTGTAAAGGTCATAGAAACTGAACAACTAATTATTTAATAGGACTGTTCTTGGTAGTCTGCCACAATTCATGTCCAGTTATTCTTGCCTTATAGTTGTGAGGTAGAATTTTTTAATAAAAATCCCATCACTAGTGTAAGAACTGCTAGACTGGGTTTGGGTGACCTGGGTTCAGTTTCCAGGTAAACCACAGACTTCCTGTGTGATCTTAGGTTGCTGGACTTGGACTCGGGAGACCTGGGTTCAGTTCCAAGCTCAACCACAGACTTCCTGTGTGATGTTAGGTAAGTCACTTAATCTACCCTGTGCCTTAGTTCCCAACCTGTACGTTGAAAACAACTTCCCTACTTTAGAGGGATATTTTGTCAGTAAATACGTTAATAGTTGTGACACATAAATGTCATCAAATACCTGTTCTTTGGGTAGTAATTTTGGAAACTGAGGTACTTTATCTTCTCTTTAAAATGCATACTGCACAGGCAGGTGATGGGACAAGCTTCCCTATTCCACCAGTCTGCTGGAGCTTTGCCACAGATAGAATGATTCTGAAAAGGTAGTGTAGACTTTGGTTTTTTTGTGAAGGCTGCTGACAATTTTTTTATTTGATGTTAGTCCGATTATACATTTTATTTGTGTTTACATATATAAAAATATGACTAGTAGAGACTCACTGAAGCCGCCAGTTTGTTTAATATAGGCAGCTGAACAGTCATTGGAAAGTAAAAACTTTCTGCCAGAATGTGTGCCTTACAAGCAGGAAAATACGTAGTTTGAGGTCACTTAGAAGACAATGTTGGGGAAGAAAGTTTTTTTTTCTGGTTTCTGGAATCTTACCTCTTCATTGCACACCATCCCCTATATTATGGTCACGTTACAAACACCTTTTTGAGCCAGTCAGATCCAACTTTTAGTGAAAGGAAAGTCAGAGGGAAAGGCGCCCCTTTTTTCTGAGGAAAAGGGTAATCATTTTCATAGCATTTCCAACCCCCGTTGACCACTTCAGCAAGAGACTGAACCAGAAATCAACCCCCATATTTGTTTCTGTTATGGTGCTAAAAAGTGACTTGGGTAATCTCTCTTAGCTTGCTTTTAATGCTAGTGCAATATTTAATAGTTCAGTAGTCAGCCATTCATGTGGTAGAGATAAACTATAGTTTTAAATTTAGAATATCCTAAAAATCGGTAGCATTGTTAATATATTCTTTTTCTTTGCAATGCATGCGAGTCTTACTAGGATTACATCTTCTGCCCAACAGAGGTCATCTTTCACAGCAAGAAGTGGAATATTGGATCTTAATTGGAGAACCAAGTAGAAAACACCCTACCATTCACTGTAAAAAGTAAGTTGGGGGCTGGGTGGCCTACAGGGCCGAGGGAGTCTGAGGCTCCTGGTGTGCAGGGTGCCCTGCAGTGCATCAGTGCAGCCTGGCATGTGGTGGGGCACAGCAGTGGACTGTACAGTGCAATAGGGGGCCCAGGTCTGTGGCCCAGGAGTCATGCAGCCTCCAGCCACTCAAAAATTGGATAATTCTGACTTAGAAGAAACTGGATGTTTTAAGAGTTCTTGTTCCTTTTCAGTGTGGCAGGGGCAACAGAATGATTATTTTCTGATTCAGAGTTCTCAAAATCTTTGGAAAAATTGGAATTTTAGTGATAGATATGAGTTTGTATAGTATTACATCTGTATTAGTAATTCTGTGATCAACTCTGTAACTTGTCACAAGTTTTGATTAAAGAGAGTGAATAAATTCCATATATACTCACAGGGCCACATTTTGAGAAATGGTGTGTGCATGCACACAATAAAACCTTGTTAGTTTGCTACCTGATATTTCGAAGTCTTGGATATTTTGAAACTATTTTTGTTCCCCAACTGAAAGGATAGCTTTTTGTATGCTTTAGGATACAGGCAATTCAAAATATGGGTACTTTGAAATTCATAGTACTTTTCTGGTCCCTTGGAACAGAAAAACCTCATTGTTTTGAAATTTGAAGTCCTTTTATAGTTTCTGGAACAGGAAAATCTCATTAAATACTTTATCTATCATTAAACTGCTGCCAGAAGCAGCTTATGCTCAAGTTATGAGAACCAACTATAAAGAGCACCCAGCACAAGGACAAGGTCTGTACTTCTTAAATATGCCAGTGAGAACCCACCATAAAGGTAGGTTAGTGCAGCCCGCTTGAATAAGACATAGTGCCCATTGTGTTCTGTCCCACTCACTGCCAATTCTTTCACTCACTGAACCAATACATCAACTACATTTCAACTTCCTCTTCATTTCTGCAGCTGAGCAGTTCCTTTTTTCCACATTTCCAGTTATTTCTATTTCTTTGTCAGCCTGTCCAACAAACATCACCAAACATTTATGTAGATGAGAGGCTCTGTTGCTTCCTCTCTTGGCCCATTGCACGTGACCAGTGTGGCCCTGCCCTCCGTAGGGTAGAGCTGGACCAGGTAGCCACATGCCTTGTCTGCATATACATTTTTGTAGGGACCCAGGACTTGTGAACACAGTCACAAGTGGTGGGCTACTTAGCATGTGGAACCTTGGAGGTGGGGGGCGGTATCTAGAGTACACATGCATACTGACCAGTACTGGGCTCTGGGGACATCATGGCTTGAAACACTGACTTTGCTGGGGCCCAGCCCCATAAACCACATTCTAAATAACAAGGCTTTTTGTCTTTGAGCTAATATCTTACATAGCTCAAAGAAGTATAGCTCTTACATAGAAGTATTTTTCAAGAACGTGTATGCTGAAATTTAGAGTAGCTTACAAAAAGATTAAACTAAAACAGTGATTATACAACTGGGTTTTTCTGTTAATGTTCTATTTAACACTAGCATGGCCACCTGCACAACTAAGTCTGTAAATACTACAGTAATTTGCATATATACATACAACCTACTATGGGTACATTTATTTTGTACCCATTTATTTTGAAGTCATTCTTTTTTGGTCCCCTGAGTTTCTAATGAATGAGGTTTGTGTGTGTGTGATTGTAAGATAAAATAGGCAAATAAGGACACTATTGAAGACTCAAGTTTTGTATGGAACTTTTAACGGATTTAATTTGTGTTTAAAAATATGAAGCCTGTAGATGTACAATCTGGAATGTATTGAACAATTTGCTCAGCTTTACTTGACACTGGACCTACAGGACTTAGTTTCTGAAGGGAAGAACAGCATTAATTTAAAAGACCAGAAATCCTGAAAATCTACATCCTTGTTTAGAACATGTCTTTCAACAAAAAGTTTTCCCTTAATTTTTCCCTGCTCCTGCTTGTTTATGGGATTGTCACAGATGTAATACTTTTAAACTGAAGAAGAATCAGCTTCTCCATAAGAAGCCTTTCCTGGTCTCCCTCTCTTGTAGGACCCCTCGAAGCCAGCCTTGGCATGGCTTTTTGATGGGCAAGATTCTGGCCCCCGACTTTTGCTCTTTTTTGGCCTCTGTCTTTCCTGGCGATCTGTGGCATTCCCATCTCAGAGCTCCTTTGGTCAGTTCCTGGGAGGTGGTGGGTATTTTGTCCTTTTTAAATGGGAGAGGGTCAGACTGACCTTGTCTGGTGTCTCCCACCTACTCTGGAAGCCATGCTTGGGCTGGCTTCAGGGGGTACTTGAAGTCCTGTCTTTTTTAGACTGAGATCCTGGCCTTTTGGGGTCTGTCTCACGGAGCTACCTTCTGGTTCAGCTCCCAAGTGGGAGACTTTACGGCCGTGTTTGCATCAGCTCAACTAGAGGTGGTGCAAATTTGAGCCGGGGCTTTTTGCCCCAGCACATGTGCTTGGACATGCACTTCGTTGAGGAGCAAATTGTGCCACTTGGGGCAAAATAACCCTGTCTGGCTCCTCCCGGATCTGCAGCCAGGGGGAGCTAGAGCCCCGGGGCAGCACCTGTGCTGTCCCCAGCAATCTAAATAGCTGCCCTGTCCTGGCCCCAGCAGTACAAAAAGCTGCCCTGGCAAATAGCTCGGGGCTACTCGCTCTCAGGAGTTTCTGGGGCCCAGTAAATTGGTACCTGAGGATACTACCCCTTGTGCCCGCTGGACTGCTGAAGCAGCCCTGAGAGTTCCCTGCACTCTCTACCCACTGCAGCAGTCTGGCAGTGGGGGCTGCTGCCTGGCTATGACCTGCTGCCACCTGCCAGACTGGGATGAGGCATCTGCACTTCTGGGCCAGCTGCCAGTGGGTTGTCGCTGCAGGGTTGGCCTCTGTGCAGCACTACTGCCATGTGTGCCCCCTGCCTGGCCACTTGGGCAGGTATCGCCCAGAAGATGTTCCGGGTATGGTGGCCTGCTTTGAACTGTCAAAGCATGTCCTGGCCCCATTTGGCCAGGAGGTCAGCCACAGCCAGCTGGGTCCAAGGTGCCAGCTCGCAGCAGGCAGGGCCCTGCCACTGGCCTCCCTAGCACAAATTCTGGTGTTCCCTATCGGAAAACTGAAAAAACCCTGATTTAAAAAAAAACAAACCCAAAGTCACTCTGTAAAAGACCCCCAAATCCATGTTCCTCCACAATTTAAAAAAAAAAAAAAAAAGCCCGCTATAGAGAGAGACAGCGATCAGTTGGACAATGTTTTATTGATATACCTGCAGTGTTAAAGCACTGGCTGTTGGGTGGCTATGGCCACATGGGAGTTATGGCTCCCCAACAGGGGCTAAATGGCCCCCGCAGGGGCTATCCCTCCCCGCCCACAAGGCCCACATGCCCCACCCCATCCCTCGCCAGCTGCTGCAGCCCCCTGATGACTGCCCCACCCACCCCCACACTCCCAAACCCCCCAATGGCTGCTG